AATGCAGAGGAATGAGCTCTATCAGCCCTAGCCCTGCAAGGTCATTCTTCTGCGAACCAGATACTGTCAGTGAAGGGAGTCCCTCTGCCACCAGCACCCGGTGCACCGAGGGAAAAATGTGTTCCATCAGCTCTGGTGCCACACAATCATAACTTCCTTTGTTTGAGGACCAGAGCACAATGGCACCTTAGGAGTGGCAGTGGTTTCACACATGGTATACCACCAAGTGAAGGTGCCATCGTGCTCTGGCCCTCAAACCGGTCCAGGACGATGTATCGCTACATCACCCAGGCCTACTAGTGTAGTGTTGAATCCAGGCCTAAGATAAAAAGTGCTGCTACCGAGTCTGAAAACAGGTCGAGGTAAATATATTTCTGACAGTTATGGTAAGTTAGTTCTCGAAACTCGCCGGGAGAGGGACATTTGTGTACCCCTCTCGTATAATGTTCATAGGTATTGAACATTATATAAAGAAGCTTGTGTGCTAGCTGAGAATCAAGGTCAGAAGCATAGAAGCAATTTCCCTTTTTTTTGTATCACACGTTGGCCCTAATGAACTTTGGCTAAGAGCAGATCACTCAAAGTCTATTCAGTATAGGAAACTGTCGTTCCACCAGGAAATTTTAGAGAATTATTATTTCTAAAAGCACAATGTCTCCAAAAGCATGCTGTTACCACATTATGTTCCTTACACCTACGAGTGGAGTTTTTCTTCTAGGCTAGCATCTCATGCACATTCCAGATTGAACAGTGAGTCATGAAACTCTTGTTATTTTCCTGACTTTTATTATAATGACAATATGCATCCAACAAGCATGACTGATTTCTCCATATGATACATAAGATAGAATGGAATCAAACAGGGATAGCTATATAAAGATGCGGTTATGTGAAAGGTTCATTTAGTTCTACATTGGGGAAGTTTCTGAGACTGCTTAATGTTGTACCTGGGGTTATTAACAACCTAAATTTCTCAAGCAAGAGGATTAAGCATCAGTAGTAGATTATGCAAACAAAAAACAAAACAAACAAAACAGGAACAGCAGCTAAAGAATAAAATGTCCAAGGTTCAAATTTCATGTCAACCAGAAACTCTCAGCTTCATCCACCAACCATCCCAATCTGTAATATGCCTGCTATAAGAATTTTCTGTTTTTAGGTTTTTCTATTTTATCTGTGCTTTTGTAGTATTATCTGTAAGTTGCCTTGAGTCCCACTCTGGGGAAAAGGCGGAATATAAATATATATAATAAATGTTTTGGATGCTTAAAAACTCTATATACATAATTGCTAGGTGTGATTATTCAATAAATAATACAATGAGCTTTTGCAGTACAAAAAGAAAACCGTGATATCTTTGTAACTCTCTGATCTTAGCCATCTGGATCCCTATTTGACTGGGTACTCAAGTACAGTGGTACCTCAGGTTACATACGCTTCAGGTTAAATACGCTTCAGGTTACAGACTCCGCTAACCCAGAAATAGTGCTTCAGGCTAAGAACTTTGCTTCAGGATGAGAACAGAAATCACGTGGCGGCGGCGGCAGGAGACCCCATTAGCTAAAGTGGTGCTTCAGGTTAAGAACAGTTTCAGGTTAAGAACGGACCTCCGGAACGAATTAAGTACTTAACCCGAGGTAGCACTGTACTTGGACATAAGCATATGAACAATCTGAAGAGCTGAGTTGGAATATAGCGACTGCTGCAGTCAGGTATGCAACTTAACCCCCTCATCCTCATCATACTGAACAGAAACATGAAAAAGAGCAAAGAGGGGATGGAAGAGCAAAATGCACAAGTTATCATCCAAGCAGGAAAAAAGGAAAACAAAGGAGGAGGGAAATAAAGGCATGATTGTAATTGCTGTCAGGGTTATCACCAACCACTCCAAGAAGGTGCAACATCCATCACAGGATGGCGCTGCCATAAGGGTTGGGAGGACCCCCTCTCCTTGGCCTGGCACAAACCAGGCTTGGAATGTCCCATGAGCCTCCACCCTCCAGTGCTGCTCCTAGCATCCTCCCTGTCCCCTTGGCGACAGAGTTGAAGGGGAGGAAAGCCCTGCGAGTGCTGAGTGGGCCCTCCCCCTTTCGCAGCCTCTGCCATGTCCCTTGTTGGGATGGTGGCCGCGAGGGAAGCCCAGTTCTGCCGCCTTCCCCACCCCAGCCCAATCATCTGCAGACCACTTTGCCTTGCATAGCCTCATCGATACCCAGCAGGCTTGCTGCCAAGGGGCAAGGCGAGCCCCCAGGCACACAAGCAGCCCTCTCTGCCTCTCTCTCCTTCTCTTTTCTCCATCTTCTTCCTCTTCCCCCTCCATCACCACAGCCGCCTCCACCTCCCCTCTTGCCGGAAATGCCCATGGCACCTTTTTCTTCTAGAAAAAAAAAGCACTGACCTTGAGTATGCATACAAACTCAATGAGAGGTGTGAGCCTGATTTTGCCATGTAATCGCATTTATAATTATCTAATTTGAGACAAATTCCCATCTCCTCATCAACACAGAGAAGCCTTTCTCTTTTCTGATCTTTCATATTTGTCAGAGTTGAAGATCCTTGTTCACAACAATATATCATGAAGAACTGTAGAAGAATAGCCAATGCTCTTGGAGAGAGATTGTTTCTGGTTGTATAGCCAAAAAAATTTATTCTGATACTATGCCATAGTGAAATGTTTAACTGTTTCTTCAATTCTCCATGAACCTTCCCACCACACTTGCCATCCTCTCCTGCCACACCAATGTGGTGTACCCACTGGTATAGAAATGTGAGGTCTTTAGCTCAGGAGGTCCAGGAGTTGGAGAAGCTTCAAAATTTCTTTCTTAAGAAAGTATTTCCTTTACCTGTTGGTACCAGTGCAGCATATGGCAGTGCAGAAGTGGGCTGGAACAGGCTAGAATACAAGTTCGACTCTTAAATTTCTAGA